TTGTGCCTAAGATTTCTTACAGTTGTGTTTTTATATGGAAATTCTTTGTAGAGTTTATCTTTGTAGAGTTTATGTTTTAAAAGATTTCTTACGAACAAAACAGAGGAATCTATATACATGTTACATGTATACTTGTTTGTATATTGAATTATTAAGAAGTATTTACCTATGGAAAAAACACAATTTAAGTGGGGTGGTGGAGTGAAAATCCAGGTAAGTCAGTCACAAGTCACAACAGGGAAAACATTGTATAAGTAGCTCTTTGGACACTGTTGAACTTGATCTAACTCTAGACCCAGTTTTTACAGAGATTATATACTCTTATCTTGTGACCATAATATTAATATCAAACCAGTCTGCTCTTGGCCATTGGAAACTTATACTGAGGAACATTCCCCTAAATTACAAAAGTGCAATTAACCCCAGAACTCTAGTCTACAGTACTAGATCTACAGTACTAGAGTTTTATCACAACTTGAATGAACAAAAATAACCATTACGCTTTAGACAGTGGAGGTGGAGGCTCAGCGCTGCTGGCCAGCAGGAGCATCCCATCTCTTCAAGACTCTCAAAGAATTTAAGGGCTAATTTAAAAGGGACTTCTTTGAAGAGATACTGTATTTTGATTTTGTTGAGGGGTTTCGGAGGGGTACTAGGCCTAAACATAGCTTCTGTATAGGTTTCCCAGTATTTTTCTACATTTGTTCCTTTAAGGAAGGATGGGTTAACAAAATGCATTCACATATAAGTTACTGACATATAAGTTACTGAAAAGTACAGAAGCTGGAGTATGTTTGATGCTGTTCAGAAGGCTAATGTGCAGCTGAGGACAGTGAGTCCCCCCCCCCGGGGGACACCCACTTATGCCTCAAGCAGCAGAGCCACACTGCCCATGACCCATTTTGCAGTCTTCTCTGTGCTCTTCAGTCTGAAGGTCCAGACATAGGTAGGGCCCCTCATTTTGGTTTTGTACACGGGGCACGCATAGGTGTGTTTGCTTTCTTGTCTGTCCACGGGTATGGCTTTTGCAAAGATGACTGGCATCATGGACGTCAGCTCCTTGAGGTGGGCTTCAGCAATGGTTCCTGACTTCAGGTCCCACCTGGCACCTGCAGCAGAACACAAGGGCTACATTGTATAGCATGTTGTTATGATTTCATTGTTTCAGGCAAGGCAATAAATATTCCAGTTTTGTTATTGTTTGTTGGCAGCTTTTCCTGAACTGGCTTGAGATGATGTGAGGGAGGTTGACATGTTTGCTGCTCAGAGGCCATTTGTACATTGGAAGCATGGTTAAGGTATCTAGTATCTATTAAATTTTCCTACGGAAATTAACATATCTTTTGAATTACATTCCTTAGTTTGAGCAAACTAGACTGTGGCTGTCACTTAAAAAAAAAAAAAAAAAGGATTTGAATAATTATCCACAGTGTAAGAGCACACACATTCCCTCCAACCACATCTTACATTGCTTTCTTACACCAAGTTCACATCACTTATTTCCCTTGCCCAACCTTCTTTAAACATTTGAACTTGTAACTTGTGGCACTTGCATTCAAGTAAAAAATGGAGCATCTTGGCAAAGACTACAAAGTAGCATTTCTGAAACTATCCTTGATGATAAATAGGTAGTGTCCTGCAGAATAAATGCCCTGTGGTGAAGTGAATTTACTGACAGTGTGTACAAAGTTAAAAAAATTTGAGGATATTGAAAAGCAAAATAATTTAAAGTCAATGTAAGTCTTAACCTATCCTGTGGCTTTAATACTAAATTTAAGTGACGGGAATTTCCTCAAAATTTACCTCACCTTCGACATGCATCTTGGCATTAAATTGTTAGAGACAGAAATTAGATGAGTAACCTCTAGCTCAAAGTTATTGTATGAGTGAGCAGACACCAAGAAACTGCAGACTACCACCAGTCTGAGCCAGAATGTCCTTAATAACCCCCATGCTCTCCTTGGGATGTCTGACCTTCCATGTGGAGTCCGTGCAGGTATGCACCTTCCCTTGGGGGGTGGCCATAATCTTCTTTATTCTTCTTGGTAACATCAACCGTCAAGCACATTTTATCCAGTGGCCATTCACTTTTTCTAGCTGTAGTCTGCATGATTGCTTTGGGAGGACAGGAACAGGAATTTAATAGGATTAAAAAAACCCCAACAAGTTGTACATAAGATTCTGAGAAGAAGCCACCTGGGAGGCTGAGTGGTCTGGTTCCACAGGACATTTTAGGTTATAAGGAGGTTTACATATATGCTCTAGGGAAGAGTTTGGGGCAAACTCTAACCCATGGGCCAACCTCTCTTTTTTTTTGCAAATGAAGTTTACAAAAATGGAATGGAATGCTGCCATGCTCATTTGTTTGCATATTGTCTGTGGCTACTTTCACACAACAATGGCAGAGCTGAACAGTTACAACAATGACTGTGGTCTGCAACTCTGAATTATTTACTGGCCACTGCTGCCACTAGGGCCTCCTCACCTGTCATTCTTAACTCCCTTTCCTGTAATGGCTACTACATGGAAATTGGCAAGCAGAGAGTACAGCAGAACTTGTGCCACAGGTGTGGTGTGGTCTGCCCTGCCTCAGCCCTTACCTGTTAAGAAGGATTGTGGGTTGAAGAAGCCAGAGAGCCACACCACAGCTGGTAGGACAAGGTCTTGTGTCCAGGAATCCAGTTCTCGGCATCGCAAGAGGAGGTCATTAAACCTGGTAAATAGAAAAACCAAACCTCTTGCCATCAAGTCAATTCTGAGTCATAACAACCCTATAAGACAGAGTAGAACTGGTTTCCTACATTGTCATTTTTACAGGAACAGACTGTTACATCTTTCTCCCATGGAACAGCTGGTGGGTTCAAACCACTGACTTTTTTAGATAGCAGTTTAGCACTGTGCCATCAGTTCTCCTAGTTAATAGAAAGTAGGAGAAATAATTTTCTAGTAAGATTATAGCAGCTCTGGGAAGTGAGTGAAGGTGGAGAAATAAACCATTGATAACCAGTAAAATTGTTCCCTGACGATTTGTAGGACATTGTCCCTGTAAAGGGCTAGTGTTTTTCCTGTTGAGATTTTTATATCTGCAGATTTTACAGCTAGTACCACGTAGGACAAGAAACACTAGGAAGTATGGAAAAATGAATCTGCATTTATTCAACAACTATTTAGAGATTTCTCTTAGTGATATTCGGAAGGAAGATGGGGCAATCTACTTCCGTAGTGATACTGCCTCGGAAACCCAAGGAGGGGTCGCTGTGAGTCGGGTCCAATTCGATGGCATATAACAACAACAACTTAGTGATATAGTGGCTAAAAAGGCGACCTGTATATGAATCAGGATGATAGGCGCCTACATAGAGGTCGTACAGGTACAGTGGGAACACAGGAAGGAACAGCATGTCTGGGGTGAGGGAGGAAGGACTATGAGGATGATTACAGGATCAGAGTTACCAGGAAAGGTGGTAGGCAGAAGAGACGGCATGTGTAGAGGTAGTTGAGCATATGCAAGTAGTTTCTCTCACATGCAATTCTGGCAGGGGGAAGTAAAAGTTATTAAGGAAAACACTGTCACCCACTGCATGCCTGGGGTTTGACAGACACTACTGTTGAGATGCATGTTCTCATTTAATCCTAATCTTGCAAGGCAGGAAGTATTTGCAGTTTACTGATGAGAAAGCCTGCTCATGGAGGCTAAGGAGAAATAAACAACTTTGATAAAAGTAGAAGATGTGTGAAACCTTGACATGTAGAATTAATGGGTACTGACAATTGAAAACTAGGGTTAGGAATTGGGATGAAGCACAGAGAGGAGAGCAACAGCTGTGCCCCTGCATAAAAGCCAGCAAAATAACTGTCCAGGTGAGGGCACGTAGGCTGGCAGTGATTCTTCTGGGACTTGCTTTGGTTCAGGGAAGCGAAGGAAGCAGGGCTCAATCACTGAGACAAACTACCACTTTAGAAAATGTCTCCGGAGATACTTGGCTGACTCCGAGGTTGGGAAGAAGGAAAGGCTGTAATGAACATGCACATTCAAACTTTGGTCACCACAAGGAAAATTCCTGCTCGTTTAGAACATGGCCCTGTGTCCTGCCCCATTTATAGTTCCTGCAAATAGCTGCTCTAGGATAAGTATCAACATAATAGTGAAAAAAATAACATAGGTTCTACACAGTGATAACACAAAAGAATAAAGGCCAATAGGAAAAACAGTGCTAGGTAGTGAGCCTCAGTGTGTTGCCCCCCGATGACAAACATTGCAGCCAAATAATTTTCAACAAGTTAAAAGTGAAGTGACTGCCTGTGTGAACATGGCTTAGAAATAGAGGGGGTCAGGTGAGAGAAAGGAAATTAAGCTAGATTTATCTTAGGGAAGAAGTAGAAAAAGCAATTATAGAAATGTAGAAATAAAAGCAAAGACGAGGAAGAGTAATAGTAAGGAAATGAAATAGAATTCATAGTTAAAGAATTAATGTGAACATGATGATAAAGCTAAAACAAAACAGTATTTAATAAAATTCTGAAAAATTGGACAGCCTTCCAAAGTTACAAATTTGAATCTGTAATTGAAGGGGCATATATCATGTTCAAAGGAAAATTGGCCCAGAGTAATCAATACTAATATGTATCTTACAGTTACACACACACACACACACACACAGCTATTAAGTCAATTCTGACTCGCAGCGACCCCTATTGGATTTCCAAGTTGGTAAATCTTTATGGAAGTCAATTGGCCCATAAATCCTGTAGACAGCCAGGCAAAGACATGAAGCAATTCATAAAGGGAAAAAATTATGCTGGCTTCAAACACTCCATAGCAGCATCTAACAAAGGAACAGAATGCTATCTGCAGAGTTCTCCAACAATGAGTATGTTAAAATTTTTTATAACCAAGATTGGGATTCTCCTACACTGCTGATGGAAATGTAAAATGATAAACCACTGTGAAAAATCAGTATTGTGATTCTTGTAAAAGTTAGAAATACCATGTGATCCAGCAATCCCATTATTAAGTATCCTAAAGAAGTGAGAGCCAGGACACAAACAGATGCATGTACAACTATGTTCCTTGCACCACTATTCACAATAGGAAAGAGGTGGAAACAATCTTAAGTGCTCATCAACAGAAGAATGGTGTGATAGTTGGGGTTATGTGTCAACTTGGCTGGACCACGATTCTGAATGGTTTAAGCAGTTGTGATGTGATTCTCATGAAGAGATAGAATATGTATGTTTTGAGCAGCCAATCTGTTGAAGGGGAGTTTCCCTACGGGTGTGGCCTGCTTCCAGTATATATATATATATCTGTTGGAGTCAACAGCCAGTATACTGCCTGCCAACCTTGAGCTTTTCAACCCCTGCAGATGCATGATTCAGGAACTTGGGGCTTGCTATCTTCTATAAGTGTGTGAGCCATTTTCCTAAGATAATTTTTTTTTTTTTCTCTCCTGTAAGTTTTACTGGCTTTGCTACTCTAGAGAACCCAGCCTAACAAATGGATAACCAAACTATGATACATACACACAATGGAATACTATGCAACTCTAAAGAATAATGTAGAATCCGCAAAACACCGTAT